TTTTTTTTAATCTAATAAGGAAAGAGAAAGTTGGATCTTCAGGGTGAGTCCAGCAATTGGCAATCACCAACTAGAAGACAACGATGTGAACCTGTGTCATACTCAGGTATTTCTAATACTTTCTAAGCAGTGGCAGCCTCCCACAGGGTTATACCTTTATGTAATGTGGTTTTTTTTTTACTTTTTTAATAGAAAATGTCTGTTAATATCTTGGCTTCAGTAAATGTTATCTCATTAGTTGTGTGTTAAAATCTTATCAGGACACATCAAACAGACAACAGCACGCATGCCATAATGATTAAACCACAAGTATCTGTACAATACAATACAATACATACAGTAACATGCAACAATCCATACAGTTTGCTTCTGTAATTTGTCCATTGATTAAGTGTTTTTTTCTTATTACAAGCAAAAAAAACTTACTCCATGGACAAATTTTTCTACTTATTCCAAGTGAAAATTGTCTAAAAACAAGTTACTTTTCCCAGTGATGAGTCTTATTTTAAGTGTAATGAGATTTGTTTTGACTAGAAATAAGACAAATATTCTTGGTAAGATTTTGAGTTTTTGCAGTGAGCTCGTAGCAAAGCAACATAAGAATACAGTTAGGTCTGTGGTAATATCCTACATATTTATGAATTTGGGTACATTTCATGAACCTAAAAATGACCTCTATGCTGTGTCGTGCCATGTGGCGGACTGAGCTTCAGAGAGTTGTTGGATAAGAGCAGGTGGGCGGTCAGGTGTCAAATCTTTGCAGAGTACTGGAATAAAAACAAGGACACATCACCAACAGTATGATAATAACATCCGAAACACAAATTTCAGTCTCACTTTCTGTGACAGGAGAAATACTTTCAAAATACAAATGTTTAAAAAGACAAAAATGGCCAGAATATACAGAGCTACCTACAGTGCCGTAGCCCCACCTAGGACAAGTTACAGCACTGCATTTTAGGCACTGAAGAGTCCTGAGACAAAGACTGATACTCTGACTGAAGAATCGTATCATTGAATCACAATGTTGACTAGGGGGAAAAAGGACACTGAACTTGATCACCTGTTAGCTCTTCTCTGGACTCCACTTCCCAGGGTTTCACCCGGCTCATCCCAGATTGAATGAGAACATAAATGCAAATTTCAGTGTGTGAATTTTAAATTGTGTTTAAGCCTGTAGAGTCCTGTTAGAGGACAAATGCTATGGAAATATATGTTCTTAATCAAACACAGTTTTAAAGACAAATTTACACATTCAACCTCAGGTTCGTCCATCTACCAGTGCTTCAATGGATAAAGGTGAGATACACAGTATCTTAATGATTACATGTAGTGTTCACGTGTTTTTAAGACAGTAATATCTTGCTTTGACTAGGCAACTCTACTAAACAAACATTTAAACGCAACACTTTTATTTTTGTTTAGTATGTTTAGACCATGTTTCAATTTTGTGAAAGGTACATGCAACAAATTTCTTCTTTTTTTTTAATCTAATAAGGAAAGAGAAAGTTGGATCTTCAGGGTGAGTCCAGCAATTGGCAATCACCAACTAGAAGACAACGATGTGAACCTGTGTCATACTCAGGTATTTCTAATACTTTCTAAGCAGTGGCAGCCTCCCACAGGGTTATACNGGCAATCACCAACTAGAAGACAACGATGTGAACCTGTGTCATACTCAGGTATTTCTAATACTTTCTAAGCAGTGGCAGCCTCCCACAGGGTTATACATTTATGTAATGTGGTTTTTTTTTTTTAACTTTTTTTTAATAGAAAATGTCTTAATATCTTGGCTTCAGTAAATGTTATCTCATTAGCTGTGTGTTAAAATCTTATCAGGACACCTCAAACAGTCAACAGCACGCATGCCATAATGATTAAACCACATGTATCTGTACAATACAATACATACAGTAACATGCAACAGTCCATACAGTTTGCTTCGGTGCCTGGTTGCAAAAAAACAAACCAACAAACCAAAAAAAAAAAACTCAGCCCAAGGTTGCTCCTAATATTTAATCTACAGATGCCTTAGAAAAAAAATAGTTGCATAGCATCACCATTCGAATGTTCTTGGGATGCTGTAAGGGCAAATACTTAAAGATTAAAGTGTATGCCACTATGTGATGATATTGTCAGCCTCCGCCACCAGTGAGACAAACAGTTAAACTGCTGTGCTAACCCTGCTCTGAAGGTAAATGTAGCACAAAATATCATGCTCCAGACAGGTTATCATAATTTAGAATCTTCATACAATACCAAATACACATTACTCACCACTTTTTTCACTACCCCAACATAAAGCAAAAGATCCACACACACAAAGTAGAACAATGTTGTTTTAATTGGTGTTGTGAGGGTCCTGGTGATGGAGATGGGTCCCCTGCCCATGGTCCCCACCCTGGAGGTGGGGTCTGAGGCTGGAGGTCTGCAGCCAAACCCTTTCTGGTTATTATAAACTTAAACACTGCAGAACGCGGTCAAAAACTTACAATCCAAACCAACACAGACTTCATGTCATGTTTATTCACGCTGTTGTCAACAATTTCCTTTTGTCATGCACACTAAACTGCACCATACCTGGCCTAAATAACTTATGCCTGTATTCTAAAACAGAAATAAAGTAAATATAACCATACCCTTAGCACAGTCCACTACTATACACTATTCAATATATACAGAAACTGTTGTGTAAACTTGAATATCATCAGAACTTACACCAATTAGCCAAAACATTAAAACCACTGGCTGGTGACGTGAATATCATTGATCATTTTGTCACGATGCAATATTCTACAGGGAAACCTTTAGTCCTGCCTTCAATGTAGATGCTGCTTGACACGCTCCAACCACCCAAACGTTCTTGCAGACCAAGTGCCCCCCCTGATGGCAGAGGTCCCCCCAGCTGGACAGTGCATCATATGAAACCATAAAAACTGCTCAGGAGAGGCCTAAAGAACATGGAAAATAGCGCAAGGCATCAACCTGGCCTTTGAATTTCCCAGATCCCAGTCTGATCAAACATCTGTGGGACATGCTGACACCTCATAGATAGCCCCTATACATGGTGGTGCCTCCCAGGATCAGATTTGGCTCTGACCTTTCGAGGCATGGACACAGGACCTCTGAGGGGTGTCCGTGGTGTCTGGCACCAGGGTGCTGGGAACAGATCCTTTGAATCCTGTGGGTAGCAATGTGGGGTACCAGCACTTCCCATGGATGCTTGATTGGATTGGGATCTGGAAAATATGGAGGCCAGGTTGATGTCTTGAGCTCTTTGTCACGTTTGTTAGGCCATTCCTGAGCAGTTTTTGTGGTGTGGCATGGTGCATTGTCCTGCTGGGGGGGCCACTGCCATCAGGGAGTGCTGTTGCCATGAGGGGTTTCCTTGGTCTGGAACAGTGTTTGGGTGGGTGGAACATGTCAAGTGGCATCCACATGAATGCCAGGACCAAAGATTTCCCAGTAGAGCATTGTATTGCAACAAGATAATGTATTTTAATCACTTCACCTGTTAGTGGTTTATATGTTGTGGCCGATCGGTGTATATGATATGTCATACCAACACAGACCTTTTTTTCCAAATATAAATATGTGCTTAAGCGGCTCTTACAATGTTTATTCATGTATTTCTTAGACCAAAAGAGAGCTTATAGACTAAAGCATACTCACCTGGGGCAAATGAAATGACACTGATGCTACTACAATCCCTAATGTTAGTAGCTGGTGATGTAGGTTTTATATGGTGTGGGAGGGATTATGATAATGATGGCTCCATTGTGTACATTACTGCTTACTGTATGCACTGGTTCCTGCTGAATGATTCTTTGCTTTTACTCTGACAGAAGAAACTATACTGTCTAAAGTGGAAGAAATCATGGATGATGTCCAAGACAAACTACCAGACCAAGACAACAAGCTCCATCAGTTCCTCAAGTAAGTAGTGAGTTTTTCGTATTCCATATTCTTTGGTATATGGACCTGGTTTCACTCTGTCATGTGAGACAGTCTGCATTTTGCTTTTAAATTAGTCTTAAGCAAGTTGGACAGTTTCATAAAAACTACATACTGACTTATTTTAAGCCTAAAAAGTTCCCTCAGGCTATTTCAGAACTGAAAGCCATGTTTCCATGGTAACTGTCTGCTGACAAGTGGCATCTAATGACAAAAAAAGAGGAAAACAATCTCTCATAATTTGTGGTTTGTTAACGATGTTTCGGAGTGAGTAATAAAGAAATAGTTTTTACAGACCGCAGTAAACCTGTTTGAAATATACAGCAGTGAGAGTCCTGCCACATTCTAAAACCACAGCATCTCAGCAGGTCTGTACTGCATTGAGATTTTCTGCTCTGGAAGGCTTTTCTATTGTTACACTCTACACTCAGTTTCACCAGTTTTCCTTGTAACTGCTGATGTATTTCAGGAGGTAAATGTTCTGCAGGAGTGAAGGAAGCTGCGCAGTTTGATACTGTTGCTTGGTCTGCCACCTATCGTAGTTTTAAAAAAAATAGTCTTAACTCAGAATTATCCGGAAGTCATAGCAAATTAGTCCTACTGAAGATAGCCTAGGACTATATAGCTTTGTGACATCATTAGATGTCTATCTGAAGCTTGACTGTTAGTTTGATCAAAGTCATAGTCAAAGTCTATCTTTGTGGGGCGTCGGTAGCGTAGTGGATAGTGCCAGCGTCCCATGTACAGAGGCATTGCCTTGCTGCAGTGGCCGCGGGCTCGAATCCGGCTCGCGGCCCTTTACTGCATGTCAGTCCCCACTCTCTCTCTGTCTCCCCATTTCACTCTCTGTCCTGTCAATAAAGGCAAAAAGTCCATAAAAATCTTTAAAAAAAAAAAACTATCTTTGTGAAACTGAACCCAGGTCTTATAGAACTTCAGTCTGCTTTAAATGGTTTTCACATCACAGACTCAATTTCTAAGCACATAAGATATGGGCACCATCAGAAGCTACGTAGCTATCACGTTTGCTACATTTACTTGCTTGTGTGTCAGTAAGCTCTCAACAAACAAAGCCAAATGTGTTTAGAGGCCAAACTTATAAGACTGAACAGTTGTAAAATGTCTCCTGGAGAGCTGTCAGGCACTGCATCCAAGAATATGTACAGAATTGGTGGCTTTAATTCCCCTGTTAAAAGACAGTTTGCTATTGGTCGGTGATGCAGATTTATGTGTCAAAGTATACCAAAGCTCAGCTTAATGTAAAAACACTGAAAGGAGTAGCAAACTTCACAAGCAAATCCAATAAATCATTTTTCTTTCGAAGGAATAAAGTGAATTATTATTCACTTTAATTTTAGCTATTTTTTTCCCTGGGCGTAACATCTGGCTCTTTAGTTGCTTTATACCTCATGTTTACATGCTAGTTGTTATTTTGGTGTGTCTGTCAGGTACCGCAGTGATTTATTATTATTTAGTGTTTTGGCTGAAATCAGCTGCTTGCTGTGTCCGAAAGTGAGTCTGATGAGGTTTGGCCAAAAAAGTTTCAGGCTGAAAAACTGAAACCAATGAGTGAAAGACGATATAAAGCCCTGTAAAGCAGAGGGGAACCTTAAAGTCTGGTGATAACTCTGTGTGGTGTCATCTTTTGGTGACCCTTCTCACATACAAGTCGACATTCGAACCAGTTAATATGAAAATATTGATTACAGCTGTTTCAGTAGGCTGGTCACACTGTAGATGTTTTTCTATTGTGACACGTTCTTTCAGTGTTTGTTTATTTTCCAAATTAATCAATGAACTCATGTTCAACCTCTTGTACAACAGGAAGAAAATTAAGGATTTGGAAATCGACAAGAGGGAGCTGGTCGGTGTCTTTGGTAGAACTGGTGCTGGAAAGAGCACTCTGATAAATACCGTCATTGGAGAGAAGAATCTCTTGCCTTCTGGGAGTGTCAGTGCATGTACCTCATTCATGATTAAAGTGGAGGCTAACATGCAGAAACAATATGAGGCAGAAATTGAGTTCATTACAGAAGAGGTAAAATTAGTTGAATATACTGTGTTTATGTTCACTTGAAGCAAACTGAAAAGTTATGATGTAGCTGCAAAAATATTTCTCTTTACATCACATGATATTTAATTAAACTGAAATAATAATTTATTTATTTTTTAGGAGTGGAAAGATGAGTTGTGGTCCTTGTTAAATTTCCTTGGGGATGATGCAGATCAGGAAGATGATCAGGAAGATGACGAGGATTACCATGACACTGTTGACAAGCTGTCAGCGCTGTATGGAGAAGAATGGAGAGACAAATCCCCTGAAAACCTCATGGAAAACAAGTATTTCGAAGAAGTTCCAGAATTTCTCCACTCAGAGAAAAAGCGTTTGACATGTAAATCAGTGAGTAAGACAAAATAAATTATTGTACATATTTACATGTATCACTGTCTGACAGGGTGAAATGTTATGAATTTCCAGTTATTGAGGTTAAGTAATGCACTTACAGCCTGGCCATTTCAGATTGGTTTAGTTTAACAAATCTGTAATGAACACTGTTTGTGATGCACCTTTTTAAACTTTGCAAGTTTGCTCTTCAATTAGTCTTACGCAAGTTGAATAGTTTCATAAAAAATACATACTGACTTATTTTAAGCCTAAAAAGTTAGTAACCTTTCCCTCAGGCTATTTCAGAACTGAAAGCNATACATACTGACTTATTTTAAGCCTAAAAAGTTAGTAACCTTTCCCTCAGGCTATTTCAGAACTGAAAGCTATGTTTCTATGGTAACTGTCTGCTGACCAGTGGCATCGAATGACAAAAAAAGAGGAAAACATGGCTCACAATTATGGGGTGCCATTTGTAAAGTGGCTCATGCTGAAAATAAAAATAAACATTTTGCCACATTTAGCTTCAAACAATGTTTAAAAAAGTGTTGTGAATTTTTTGACGTCACCTTTTACCACATTTACAGCAATATTTGTTAAATCAGAAACAGGACACGACTCGTGGCAGTATTTTGAATTTGAGTGCAGTAACCGTTTTGGCCACATTCTTACATACAGCGCCTCTAAATCTAAATCTAAATGCTAAATCTAAATCTAAATGTTAAATCTAAATCGAAATGCTAAATCTAAATATTAAATCTAAATCGAAATGCTAAATCTAAATCGAAATGTTAAATGTTAAATCTAAATGTTCTGGGTGAAACTAAATATTTAGCTAATATGCAAATTCACACTGCCGGTCACCGGAAGTACCAAAATAAAATCTTGAGATGGTCAGACTGTGTTTATAGAATCAAATAACTAGTGTTGTAGTCAAGACCGCACCAACCGAGACCAAGACATTACCGAGACCAGAGAGTACCGAGACCGAGACAAGACCAAGACTTTTGAAGGTCGAGACCGAGATAAGACCAGGGGCGAAAATCCCATTTCATAGTTGGGGGGGACAATAAACAGTAAAATTTTAGAGAATAATTCCAGGGGGGGACAAGGAAAAAAAGTTGTAGCCTGTCTTTTATACAACATCTTTTACTGCAATTTGACACTTTAATCTTCTATCTCTCAACAGGTAGAGTGAATGTCTATACTTATGAGAAATGACTTAACAACTAAACATTTCCTGCAATTAAACTGGTTTATAAACAGTGTGCTATAAACAGTCTGCCACTGCGCACCTCACAACCGTGCGTAATAGTCGCACGTAATGACCACTCCTCGTTGGTTAAACTGCACGTCTTTCATGTTTGTCTCACTGACAGGTGGAGAGCCTACAGACAGGTACCCATTAGCTACGAGCCGCTCCGCCACTGACTGCTCTTGTCCTGTCCTCTCCCTCTTCTTCTTTTTTCTTTTACTTGTAAAGCACTTTGGTCTCAGCTCTGTTGTTTTAAATGTGCTATATAAATAAATTGGTATGGTTTCTCTCCTGTCCTCTCTGACTATCACTAAACTCTGAGCTTAATCATTAGCTTTTAGCTTAGCAGCACTCATAATTGAGTAGGCTTTTCAACAATGCAGGAGAAATGTTGCAGACAGTTTATATTATCAGCCTGGGCCTGGGGCTTGTTGTAACAGTAAATGGGATGTGTTGTAACTTGTGTAAGTTAAACTGTATCTGTGTGAGTGAACATCTTACCCTGCGATGCGCAATGTGGGCAGCGGTTCCAGCCACACGCTGCTACTGCTGCCAAGCAGCCCCGTCCATTGGAAAGAGTGTGGGATATACCACTACTAGGAATGGGAGGGGGGAACTAAATCTTTTAAGATTTAAATAGCACATTATTGCGTGATTATAATGAGCACCGCTTACATTGTGCTTTCAATAAATACTACATTGTTCAGAAATTATTGTGTCTCAAATTATTCTAGGGGGGTACAGCTTTATTGAAGGGGGAGTCATGTCCCCCCTGTCCCCCCTGGGATTTCCGCCCCTGGACAAGACCAAGACCATATATATCAAAGGAAAATCATAAACATCAAAATGTGAGGGTTTTTTTTTAATTTAAGTTTGCTTTTAACCCTATGGGCCCTAGGTGTTTTTGGGGTATTTTTACTGCCTTTACTTTTAAGCTCATATCACAGTCATTATAAAGGCTACATACACATGCTATATCTTGTTTTTTTCAGGACAATCTAGGCTAACCAGATTTGCCATCATTTCATCCTATGTGCCTGTATTTTATATAAATTTTTATATCAATGAACAAAAACTAATCCGTGTGACTAAATTCTTATATTTTTACATGTATCTCACCATAGCAAGTTGGAAAATGACATATTCTGCCATATATGAAGAGGGGAGACTCTCTGGAATCTGGCGATATAAGAACCATGATGCTGGGACATTCTGTCACTTCACAGTTGTCCAAAACATGTGGTTTGTGCCAGGCGGACATGATTGCCAGTATTTTTTCATTATTGCAAGAAATTCCATTGACTCATTCACAAGTCAAAAATATGTTTTATCTGAAAGAAACATGCAATATTTACATCTAAGATCATAGAAAAATAGTCATCCAAGTGCAATGATGTCCTCCAAGATAATATTTGTTTTTCAGTTTCAGTTATATATTGGGGAGACATTTTGGGCATAGGTGTTGGGGCACGTTGCCCCCTCAATGTATATGGTGACTACGGCCCTGTCAGCATGCATAATTAAGTCTACAGTTGTCTGGGTGCGCAAAGGTGAAGTGGCTGGTCTTGTCATACAAAGTTTGATGGAGTGTCAACTGGACAATATGGAGATATTTGCATCTTGAAAGCTGGTCTACATATGTGGATAGACAGGGAGAAACACACGCAAGCCTAAGACGTGGTAAGATACGATATTCCTCATTATATGAAGTGACTGATAACAAGATCTGTATCATGGGTTGTGAAGAAATTCGTCAGGATTTTATTTGGTAGACAATCTGTATTTATAGCATGATGGGATGACAGCACAATGATATGTGTGGCATTTCTGTGCGACCCTGCATTCGCGAGTAATCCATCCAAGAGTAGGCTATTGTGTGTGCAGAGCTGTATGAAAGCTCTGTTATACATAATTTTAGTGTAAGTTTATCTTTTTTTTCGCTGTGAAAACATTGGACTACCGACAAGTGGCCTTGTCGGAAAGCTGTAATTCCGCTGTTTCACGTGATATGCGTGGTTTCTCGCTATGACGCACGGTCGCGGAGAAAATCAGTAGAGAAGAACAGGTGTGAATTTGAACGCACTATGCGTCGTTCGGGCCCATAGGATTAAATAAATATAACAACAAAAACAATATCTGCTCTGTTGTTGCAGAGAACAGTGAAACAAATTTTAGAGTTCACACAGCCTCTCCTTCTGCCGTCTCCATCCTCTGTGTGCAGGGGGCGTGTCAGTCACTCACACTGACAACGGGCAGCAGCTGCAGCTGGGGGAAATCTTTATTCTACCAGTGATTTGAAGTTATTAGCTGTTTTTGAGATGGTCTTTTTCACTAAAAAGTAAAGCACGGACAAAAAGCATCAGTGGTGGTCTCGACCGGTCTCGTTCAAAAAACCCGAGTCCGCCCAGTCCGAGACCGAGACAAGACCGAGTAAAAATGCCCTCAATTCCGAGACGAGACCAAGACCCTCAAAAAATGGTCTCGAGACCAAGACCGATCTCGAATACTACAACATTACAAATAACGAATTAAAACCAAATTATCGGTGGAAATGAACACTTGAACATACATTAGCGTAATAATAACTAGCCTACTTAAACAACAAAAAACATGTTTGGAGAAATTTTATTTCATGTGTACTTTGAGTTGTTAGTGTCCCTTCAAGAGGGAATTGCCTTGTTGTTTACAAATACTTCCGGGTAGAAAACCAGCAGAGTTTAGCTAGGCCTATATATATCTCACATTTTTCACGTCACTACATCACCGTTTAGACTAATCTGATGTTTGTAAAATCTATAAACACAATGATTGAACAAACATTACTATTTCTGTGTGCACGTTTTGTAATTAATAACATGGTTATCGTAGATTAGCTGGGCTAACCGTTAGCCGTTGGCCCCATTAGCGGTGTCTGTAATAACTCATTAACTCAATAAACAGTCCGTGAAAAAAATATTTTTTCCAGCGGATATCTTAGTTACAACATGATTGAGCCAAAAGCAAAGCAGTTTTGTGTTGCTATGTGTGGCATTTATTCAGTTTTGGTAAATCACGATGTCTAGAAAGCATCAGTGGCTGCATCTGACAGGGACAGCTAACAGCAGCAGCAAAGCTAACATCAGGATGTCATCTATTAAAAGCCTCCCGTTGTCGGATACAACATGAAACTACTCCAGTTAGCTCAATCATGTTGTAACTAAGACATCCGCTGGAAAAAATATTTTTGACATTTTAAGATTTCTGTAGAAATTGCATTTTTCGGTGATTGGATGGCGAGCACTTCTGTTCTAGAAACTGCTGAGAGCCTCTTTTATTGTCAAAACACCTATGAAAGTTATGCATCCTCTGATGCCCGCTGTCTCTAGTCAGCAGTTAGAAACTTTCATGAGGCTGTGATTATTCTACAGGTCACAAAAGGTCATTTTATATAGTGCTGTCTGTTTCTAAAAAATGGTCTGAGTACAACAAATTGGCAACTATGGGGGCTAACATCATCACACATTAATGAAATCGGGCTCATTGAATCCACGAGTCTCAACTTTCCAGTCATACTCAATTAATGCATTTCCAAGACCGTTTAGGGACCTGCAGAAAAAATAAAATACAACAGGTGAAAATAACATATTTGCACTGCATGCAAAAACCTGATGGCTTTTGCCCACAACGGCATTTGACAAGCATAAATTAGGCACGTCTGTAATCCGGAGACTCATGACTACCCACAGAATGCATATTCATTCAGATATCTTGAGGTCAGAGGTCAAGGGACCCCTGTGAAAATGTCTATGCCATTTTTTCCCTCGTCAAAATTTAGCCTAACTTTGGAGTGTTATTTAGCCCCCATCCTGAGAAAGCTTTAACTCAGTCCGCTACAGCCTCTTAAAGACGGGAATGTTGGCCAAGACTGCCAGCGGCCCTGTGGGTCTCAGAGGTTAAAGAGTGCACTTGGTCCATCTGTGCTAAATAATACAAATCCAGATCAAATTTAGCCTTTTAAAGAAAATCGTAACAAACAATATCTACCAGTTACTAAATTAACTGCTTTTACGAATTCCACGTGGGATTTTGTCTCTGTCATTGTCCCCAGACAGGTCTCATGAAGATTAAATGACCAAGTGGTTACACCTTACTGATAGACAGGTTGAAAAGCTGGGTTGATCTCTCTGGTACTAATAGTAATTATTTTATATAAATAAGTAATTTAACTTCCCAGCAGGACCCGTGGAGTACCACAAGGATCAGTACTTGGCCCACTTCTATTCGGTTAATGTTAGTTAATGTCAGTTTTTGCACTTATGCTGACAAACCACAAATCTATATTTCTCTTTCACATTTTTCCATTGAACCACGGTCAGCACATTGAGCAAATCACTGGTTTGCTAAACAAAGACAGAACTGAGGGGATTGTGTTTGGTGGCCACAATGAAAGACTTATTGTTGCATTCCTAGACCCTGTGCCTTTAAAAACTGTAAGACAAGTAAGATTGGGTACTCCGGCTTGGATTTTAGCAGTCATGTTGAATGAATTAGTTTATCATTTGGAAAATATAGAGCTATAGAACTTATGTCTAAACATGATCTTTAAAAGCAAATATTCATGCATTATCTGAGGCACTTTCGACTATTACAAAAGCGACTAAACTGTGGTCAAATTCAGCTGAGTTTTATGAAAAACAAAACTAAAGGCATTATGCCTATATCTGCACTATCAGTTAGTCAGACAATTGATTTTAAAGTATTACCATTTAAGGGTGTCAGTGTTCGGATCTTTTTTAAATTTCAGCCCTCCGACAAGGCTCGACAGGCAGCACACAAAGTTATAACTCGTGTTTTCCTTTTTGTCTTCTTTATTTTGATAACAAAATGACCACAGAGTCAAAGTTGCCGTTCACCACACCATCGTACGCATTTGCTCACCGAGCGCTCAACCAACGGCATGTCCCGGCCAACCCCGACCGCCGAGAATGCTCCTGGGAGCTAGCCGAGTGCCGGCCGAGAGTGCTGCGCTACACTCACGCCGGAGGCTGAACGCCTATCACGCTTGTAAACAACACATTATGAGCCACCTACGGCACGTCGGGATAGCGTGGTAAACGTCAACACGACCCTCTATTCATGAGTTAACCATCATTAGCAGGCTGCTTGCAGTTAGCAGTTGTAATGCTACTTACTGACGGGCTGTATGCTCCTGCCGAAGGTTCGCCGACAATGAGCCGTCAACGTGAAACAAGAATATTATGTACGCCCTCACGATTAACCCCTTAAAGGGTCTCAGGCGTACAACGTAACTAAATGAATGTTTTAACCAAACAATAGAAAGGGTAGATATCTCTGTTAAAAGAAGAGAGTGGCTGCAGCAGCTCAATAAATCATACACATTTCTTATTAGTACACATAACCTGACCAAAAGTCTTGACAGTCAGACCTTATTATATTTCTTACATGGTATATCCATATGAACCTTCAAGAATGCTCAGGTTTTCAGACTGGGATCTGCAGAATGTCAAGGGTCAACATGAAACACGGGGAAGCTGCATTACTCATCTACGTATGATACACATACTTGTAATAACCTAGATAATCCCTGGTTCTATCAAAATCTGGTTGTATTAGAACCTGTTCACCAATTAGCATTAAAGAAATGATTAATACTGTTAAAAACTTGCATACAGAACAATTAAAAAAAAATCACTGTCACCCAAAACTGGATATTGTCTCCATTTCATGTTTATTACTAGGCCTATTAATGTAAGTAATTTTATCTTTTTTCTTTTGTTGTTACTTTCTATGATAGTGTTTCTTCATTGTTCTTCTTTTTTATCGTATCCTCTTGTAATTCTTCTATGTAATTTGTAAAGCACCTTGAAGTTTGAGTTTGTGCATATAAAACAAAAAACAAATGAAATCACCTTACGTTGTCTTAATCTGATTGTATTGTTGATTGCAGGCTGAAGAGCTATCGGCAAAATTAGTCAAATACACAAGAAGTGAATCAAGCGATGGAGAAGGAAAAGAAGTAAAGAAGTGGTATTGGCCCCTGGTGAAGTGTGTGACTGTGAGGGTGCCTAACAATGATCTTCTCCAGCATGTCACACTTGTGGATCTTCCTGGAAATGGGGACCGTAACAAGAGCAGAGACAAGATGTGGAAAGGGGTAATTTATTCACATGTAGTGCTGTTTATTGTGTCTTACTCTGTTATCTGGAAACTTAACAGTGGTTTTTACAGAGCACTGATAATTGATTATTCATTATTGACTTGTTATTACGTCCCTTCAGGTTGTTGGAAGTTGCTCTACTGTGTGGATTGTGACTGAAATTAATCGAGCAGCAGCAGAGCGTGAAGCCTGGGACATCCTGAAAAGTACCTGTAGCTTCATCGGAAATGGTGGCGAGTGTCAGCACATCCACTTTATCTGCACAAAGTCTGATGTTACTGGAGTTTGGGATGATCGGTAAGTGATTTAAGGTGCCAAAAGTAAAAAGTTTAATATAACATCCTATTTAGACATTGAGGCATATGGTGGCCAAGAGCTCAACAGGAAAACACAAGCATAAAAATTTTCACAGTACAGGTACTGGTGGCATGGGTGTGTTATGAGACAAAGGGCCCCTGGGCACAGATATGCAAAAGGCCCCAACACCTCTCTTATGTACGAGCAGGACAGACTCTAAGGTCCCGTTTATACGACAACGATTTCAATTGAAAACGGTAAACGTTAGTTGCGTTTTGGCTGATCATTTACACGACAGCAGCGTTTTGGATGCCTGAAAACGCAATGTTTTGAAAACGGGTTCCAGAGTGCAATATTTTGGAAACGGCACTGTCTCCGTTGTCATGTAGCCTAAACTTGCAATATGCAGTTTCTCTGAAAACGGAGACTTTGCGCACATGCGCATTACGCTTCCAGTCACTAGGCATGTGTGAGAAAGTCGACCATCATAACAACAATGGCGGACTCCCGAAACTTTGCTTGTGCTGCTCACTCTATTGAATTTATCAACGCTTCCCCATCATAGTGTAGATTTACTGTAGCAACTCCACCTCGTCGTCCGTCCAGACAAACGTTCATGCGGTTGCCATTTTGTTTGTTTATACATCGCCACTCTGTAGAAGGAAGCGTAAGCATCACACTGCCAACTACTGGCCTGGCATGTATACTGCAACGTTTTTGGCCATTTTTGCGGATCCGTGTGCATGCCGATTTTTATCAGAACATTGTCGTCTAAACGCGGAACTTTTTTCAAAACGAAAATGAGAAAAGATTCTGTTTTCAGTGGATCGTTTTCGTGTAAACATGGCCTAAGGTGGTTTTGGCTTTTTGTTGTTGTTATGTATCTCCTTGTAGTCAAGGACATTTTTTGTCATCTTGTGTCTCTTTGTAGTTGTTTTGCATCCCTCTGTTTGTGTGTCTTTGTGGTCATTATGAATCTTCCTGGACAGTACGTGTTAATTTGAGTGACATTTTGCAGGTGAAGGCCAGAGGGGCCCCTGGGCCTGTGCCTGGTAGGCCCATTCAGTAATCCATCCATGACTGTTAGCATACTTTGTTGTTAGTTCAGGGGCAGGGGTTTTCAAAATCTGAAACTGTGCCTCCAAAACAAGCAAAATTGCAAAACTGCGCCTCCATAACATTCCCCATCATCATATTATGTTTACATGAAAAAAGATTTTAACCAGAGCGGTCGTGTGCATGTAAACACACTTACTGAGCACAGCTGAGTTCCAGGTTTTGGTACCAAAATCATCATTGCAGGATACTCTAATGTGCTGTTTTTGTATTTTTGTGTGTTTGTGTGTTTTTACATTTGCAGAAAATGTAGCTTAGTGTTCTCAAATAGGAAATTACTTTCTCCATTTGCTTGTCTTTGCAGTCTAAGCAACCAACATAACACTATATTTTTCAAGCCACAAAGCTTCCTAAAATTTCCAAGGAAGGAACTGATATCTAACAATGAAATTATTGGAAATTTATAGAAACTATGTAATATATCATTTGGTGCGGATATAGGGAAATTGAGACACTGTTCAGTTGAATCACTTCCAGTTAATTAGTTAATTGGATTCATAGTGTAACCTAGACTGTCTTTTAGTCCGTGCATGGTAGGTCAGCTGAATATGAAAACACTTGATATTTCTCGACAGGCTGGAAGCCAGTTTAACATATATATAGAACATAAAGTTCCTAATAATAGGCTGATAAATAAATAACTAGAAAAAGAAAGAAGAAATATTGATGGTACTATTAAGTACTATTAGTAGCAGTAGTTGAGTCATTATTATGTACTGCCTACTACAAGTATTGCAGACTTCATTTAATACATAGTACATGTACTACAGGGACTGTGCACTATGTGTGTATAATATTGTATGTATCTACAATATGTTACAATATGTATTTAACATTCATAATCCCAAAAGTAGCAGCAGTAGTATTAGTAGTAAAGGCTGTAGGATATGATAGATGGAAAACAATGATATAAAATGTTTATATGTTCTGTAGGAGTTTCAACTACTGTCCTCTGAGACACACCAACATGTCTGTGAGTTTGTGTGTCAGTGGTCGTTGCTATGGTAATTAATTAGGAGGGCCAGTCAGCAGCTCAGAGCAGGCAGCTGTTTTAATGGAGTTGAAACCTCTCAAACACCTAATTTTCCTGCCAAAACCATGAGTCGAATCATCAACATATGGATACCACCAGAGAGAGGAGATCCTCCCGAACGTGTAGGTGTCTTCTTCATGTTTGTAGCGATGATGTCACCACTCTAGCTCTGTCCCATAGATACCTATGATAAAATCTGAAACGTCTGAAAAACAACATGAAATGTAAATTGTGATTTCTTAAAAACCATACCAGATATCAAAATGTCAGTTTGGTACAATAAAGTCTGGAGTCTCATGATCCATTTAAAATTTGAATCATTTTTTTCCATGAAAGTATGGAGATTTGGTGTGGCCTTAAAGGGGAATGATTTTAAGTTGATTTCACTTTGAATGGAAAATTCTACGCAGTTTTTTTGTGAGTTTCATTAAAAAGGCTGGGCGAATCTCTGAGAAAAGTCATAGCACACAGTTCCCAAATTTTCCGCATGTTTTAATCTATTTTTTGCATATGTGTTGGCGATGCTGTGGGGTGAGTAGCTTACTTGGCTTAAAATGAGTTCTTTCAAGGAAATTCCTTTAGGTCTTTAAACTTTGTCTTTTTCCCCCCCTAAAATGATGACTAAAAAAAGCTTTGTAGGAAATCACAGACTTGTAAAGTTGTTACCTTTTCAGTATGAATGGTAGAGTTGTTGATAAGAAAGTGTTCTATCCTGAGATGAGTGAAGACCACTGTGCAAGTGGGAATTTCAGGTTTAATTTCTCCAAATACTGTATGAGGTGTCACTTCATAAAAATATTTTCTTACAGTTCAGCAGATGCTGTTCGTGCTCGCATACTTCAAGACAACAAGAAAGCCAAGGAAGAAGTGAACCAAGAGTTCAGAAAACTCAAGGAGGTTAAGGTGAGTTGAATAGACTAACAGAAAATGAAACACAACAATTTTCTACAACTGCAAGCCTGATGTGAAATCAAACCCTTTTTTTCAGAAACATTTCAGTGATGAATGTTTCAAAGTCTTCACAGTGAGCTCACAAGAGTTTCTGAAGCAAAAACGTCTGACGCCACAGGAAACTGGTAGGTGACGTCTCATACTGTATATGAGCACTCTGTGGATAACAGAACATGTAAAACAGCTCCAACACATGTTTTGTTTTAGTTTACTTTCACCACTTTAACTAAAACAAAAATAACTAATTGAATTTTGACATTTGAATTTAAGTATGTAGTTTAAGTATGTAAGATGTAATCTGATTTTTTTTTTCACAGAAATACCCAAACTTCAGGAATTTCTGCAAGAGCTCAATGACTGTCACTCAGAGACATTAAACTATGTGTCTGGAGCTCATGGGATCCTCTCTCTGATTCAAGGGGCCAGAAGTAGAGCAGGGGTAAGATCAAGTCAGGCTGAGTGTCCATACAGTGTTTTTTTTCTGAGTGGCAGCGTCTCTATTCAGTTGTTCCCAATGAGGAGAGAACGTGAAGGTGCTGTACCTTGCGTCTATTGCAGAAAAGAAAAGTGGGTATTTAAGTTCTGAACCTAAATGAATTAAACAAATCAGTTGGGACAAAAGTCTAAAACTCTGCTTCTTTCATTAAAAAAACACCAACTAAAAAACATCTAAGTTTGCTTTTTTTTACTTTTCTGGTCAATGGAATTTTTGCAAATAAATTAATTTGTTTTATGGTTTTACCAATTGATATCACATACCATAACATTTAGGTTTATATCATATAAATTATCATTGTATCATTTATTTGATTTGTGTATCTGAGTTGATTTTCTATATACTAACATTTTTTTGACTGTACGTGGTTAAATAAAATAAAATGGCAGCATGTGAGAAAGTCAATGGTAAAGTTTTTTTTTTTTTTACCAAAAGGGGCAACACACAGTAAATATGAAAGGCAGCACAACTCTTTGTCTGTAACAGTGTTAATTTTGACAAGAATTTTTAATTTCATTTTAGTCTTAGTCACTCACCAAAGACTGGATTTAGTTAGTCACATTTTAGTCTTTTAGTTTTGTTTTGTTTTAGTTAAAATTTAGTCAGTGGAAATCAGTTTTAGTTTTAGTCTCATTTTAATCTTTTGATGTAATTTGACAGTTTTGTTATACTGTAATAGATTTTGCAAGAGGATGTTTGTCATGGTAGTAAAAACTCCATTGTAAGTATACCTTTAACTATGTGTTTAGTCATTTAAACTGAGAATGTACCATATTACTCTCGCTCTATCTACTCTCTAAAAACGAATATCTAAGGCTTGTTAGACAAAGCGCAATCATGTCCTTCACAGGTTTTCTTTGTACAACAAATGACTTACAACCTGCAAGAATAAAGCTCCAATCCTCTTAAGACATCAAAAGAAGATCATAACAGCTAAGGGCATCAAAACCTAGCCAACACATTTAATCATATGCCCATTTTAATTCAGTGTTTGTTAACACTAGGACCGCCAGGATTACAGCACCCCTCCAAGTGCCGCAACGGTTATGTAACTTCACTGTTTATGCTGACCGTGCTCAGAAGCACACAAAATGCATTTTTGAGTCATTTACAAGAAGCTATGATAAAATAAAATATTACAGACTATAGAATAGGACTGACAACCTCTCCAATGTCTCGTGACAATTAATTAACACTATTTGTAGGCTTTTTATAATGCCTTTTTTTTCTGCTGCGCTGCTGCTGCGCTGTGTCTCCAGTTGAAAGTGGTGATTTGCTAAATACATTCTACAGTAATAAATTATATTAACTTTTGGTCTGTAATATTGTTGGCTATTTTACCCATTTCAATAAAAAAAAACTTAAGAATAAAAGAAATAAACACCGAAATAATTAGTGGAAACGCGGTCACTGTTGAGATTACATTCGTTTTTTATTATTAACAAAATGTTTTTTTATTGACCTATGAATGGTTTTGTTTTCAAATAAATATTTGAAAATGAAAATGTATGCTTTGGTGTACTTTTACAGTTCTTCAATATGTATAGCCTACCTGTGTGTATCAAAATGTATAATTTTCAGCAGCATAAATCTTCTCTTCTTTTTCTTCCCACTTGACAAGTCGCAGGTGAAGATAATCCGCTCATAATTACTTTCGTTCGGCTCAACACTCTGACCAGGCGTTGTTGTTCCCGGCTTCCCGCTGTGGAGCCAAGGCTTCTGTGTGCAAAACTGGACATGCACCGCCACCGCGCGGAGGGCGGGGGGAGGTCATCCAATCAGAAAGATAGACTGAGAGTTTGAATTTGATAGATAAGATAAGATAATTAATTGGTTAAAAAGGAAAACAATCAAGGCATTGAGGATGGTTGTAATCCAGATTGTCCGGCTGGCCAGCGTCCGCTTTTTCGTCACGTTTTTACTCGTCAGTTCATAATGAACAGAGATTTCGTTTTAGTTTTTGTTGTCAGTACTTATTAAATTTACGTTCTCGTCACAAATTAGTCACGGAATAAAGGGTCGTCAACGAAAAGTTTTCGTTGACAAAATTAACACTGGTCTGTAATAGTTAATTATTTAGAATTGTCCTTCAGTCCATGTTATATGTCCAGTATATGCCAGGGAGGGCGTTGAGTTCTGTCCATGGTTCTCCTCCTCTGGAGGTTGGTGAGTATTTGTTCAGCAACCATATCACTGTTAATGACAGTCTGTTGTATGACCATTACACATCTGGTTTTCCATAATTTGAAACACAAAAAGCTGAAAATGAGTTGAAACAGTTCCTTATGTTTTGGGGTCACCCAAATATCAGAGAGGCCACACATGACAGAGTTATAAGATACGTTAAAATGCCCAGACCTTTTAATAGGTATAATTTTTATACCTCTTGTGCTCCATAACAGTCGATTTAAAGGTGTTCTTGGGTTTTAGGCTCGTTGCAATGAATCACTGGACATTCTTTGGTCATGACATTACAGCTCAAAGACACTACAACTCTCACTGGGAGTCTACCTACCAAAATGAGCCATCTGACATCTCTGAAATGTTTTTATGTATTTATTATATTTATTACTTCATTGCTATAATTATCAGATGTATATTTATATTTTATTAGGCCTCCATATTCAAAATTATTAATATAAAAAAAATGTGTTTGTTAGATAAACTACACCAATCACCAGTCATTGTTTTCCAGTCAGGTCAGTGTTACAGGAACTGTGGTTATTAATCAACAACTCAGGCTTAGCCTGACAGTTAGCAGGCCCTGGTCCAGGTTATTTTCCTCATAAGTTGTCATAGTAACTAAGCTTGAACTATGTTGAATTTGATTTATGGAACTGAATAAACTGAAAATGAGTCAGACTAACCGAAACCAGCCTGGCTTATTTGGTAAACTTGTTTCAATGGAATAGGCCCTTGATCAGCTGGGCACTGAATTTTGCTGGTGGGCGCTGTGTTTTATTAACATACATGTTTTAAGCTTGTTGTTAGCTGTGAAGTCTGTTCACGTGCTGGGAACACTTATTTGATGAGGTGCTCCCCAGCAGCCTGCAAGCGCTTTTCTGACAGAGAAAAACACTTTATGGACACACACCCTGATAAAATGTCTTTCATTGTCTTTGTGATTGACAGGAAATAATATTTAAATAAGTCAGCTTATATTAATGCTCGCATTAAGTGAAAACATGACAAAGAGAGAGACAAATATCTTGCACGCAGATGTCACCACACAGTTTTACAGTTCACCATACAGAAGTTTCAGTAATCAAGATTGTCGATTTACAGAATTTTTGTTGTTCATAGAAGCTGCATAACAACAGTAATTAATCGAGCCCAAACAGTGCTGGATTTTTGGGGCTGGCGCCGCAACAATACTGGGGAGTGAAAAAAACACATTATGTTCTGTTAAAAATAAACTTTTTATATTGGTGCATATTGGACAGCATATAAGCCGACACCAATATATCTGTGATAGGCTACTACTGGCAGATAAAATCATTCCGGCTCTAGTAATTAAAGGGTGGCCATTACTCTACACAAACAGAATTTCATGAATAAATAAAGAATCAATATTGTCCTCAAAGAAAACAAATCAGGTAGCAGTATAGTTTCACTGCTTTAAATACTGAATGTGTTGTATTTGATTTCAGGCTGACAGAAACACAGATGTGTGCAGAGAGCTGGAAGAAAAGATGGAGCAGGAACTTAAAAAAGTCAGACAGCCCATGCAGACTTATGACACCTTTGAAAGATGCCTCACTGAGGGGGTTGAAAAATCCAAAAGTTCCTGGGAAAGACTCTTGAAGTCGGTCTTATATCCTCCTGTACGTATTTGAATCATAATCACATCAAAACTGTTTTTGCATCACATGTGAATTTATATCTTTAACATGCTTATGTTTTATTTATTTATTTATTTTTATCATTTTCTTTTCTTTTTTTTTTTCAGAGAATGAAGGGGAGCGCTTTTCACAGGATACTGAAGTGTGTAGTTCAGAAAAGTGGCACTCACAAACCAAAGAACAAAAAACTAATAAACCTCAATATGAAGTTAACTTCGTGCCTGACTGACAGCATTGATGAGGAATTCAAGAAGACCTTCCCGTAAGAAATGACCTCATGAAAACATAAAACCCTGTGTTGGCTATTCTTTACAAGCTATGGAGACCTAACAAATTCTGCATCATACAGTTGTACAGATTATGTAATATAATGCATTAATACAAACTATATTATTAAAACACAAACTTGTCAACACTTCCTGTATGAAACATTTCAAACTGTTAACATGTTTCAGAAATGAAGCCACATGTGAACCATTCAATGGGATCATCAACTCGTTTTCACTTGAAACAGAGAGGCTGATGAGAGAGAGGCAAGAGTACAAAGATGTCGAACTGCAACTGATATTTCTCAAGACAGAGGTAAAAGTTGACGATGGTACCGTCTTATTCATCATTCCATTATTATATCAAAAAGTATATTAAACCAAATTAAATGCAACACTTCTGTATTTGCTCCCATTTATGCAGATATAGCCTATCTTTCAAATTTGTTCAAATCCTTGTTAATGGGCACTTCTCCTTTTCTAAGATAATGCATCCACGCTGCAGGTGTGGCATAGGCATATCAAGATCCTGATTAAACAGCATCATTACTACACAGGTGTGCCTTGGGATGGTCACAGACAAAGGCCACTTTAAAATGTGCAGTTTTATGACACAACACAATGCCACAAATGGTGCAAGTTTTGATGGAGCCTGCTGTTGGCATGGTGACTGCAGGGATGTCCATGAGAACTGTTGCCCGTGAACATGACCATAAAAGTGGCCTTTTATCATGATCATCCCAAGGCACACGTGTAACAATGCTGTTTAATAGTCACCATCCTGTATAATGTCTCCTGACCTACATAATGATGTGATCATTCAATGACTTGTCTTGTTTTTGCATTTTGTGTGGACCCCTGGGAGAGTTGTTGTTACTGTGGTAACAACTAATGGGGATCCTGAATAAAGAATAAAGAATCTGTATAATTTGTGGTCTCTCTAAGGAAGAAAAAATGAAGACAAAACTCAACAAAACCATCCGGAAGCAAAAGAAAACCATCTACAAGAGTCTGATGGAGACAATCGAGGAAAACATGAAAGAAGGCTATGAAAGTAAGATAGTAGACCATGACATATACAACCTGACACAATATTACTACATATCTACATTTAATATGATTGTGCTGAAAAATGTAATTGATGTAATTTAATTGTTTTATTTTAGAAGCAGCAGAAATTAGAGGACGACACTCGCTGAAAAACATGAGGAGCACTATTGAGAACCATGTACGAGATTCAAAGGACATCATGTTTCAGAGGGCGAAAAATGTTATGTTGGAGCAGCTGGAAAACTTGATGGTTTGTCACATTTTTAAATACTTAATACAGTTAATCAAACATGTGCTGTACATCTTTATCTTTGTCCTCAATTGTCATCTTTCACATGAAGGCTTGTTCAATATTCAAGTTAAAAGTCTGAAAGCTGCTTTTGCTACTAAAACACTACAGGGACTTTCACAAACATTCAACTATTGTTATTTATCTGAGACAGAAACATACCAAAGATTATGTAGTTAATATAGCTGCGTTTGCATTTGCATTTGTGGTGCCTCCTGGTGGTCATTTTGAATAGAACTTTCAGGGTATGTTTCAGGTATGTACATTGACATATTCTACAAGTTTCATGATGATCAGCCCAAGTGTTGCTGAGGTTTGGTCTATTTATGTCTGAGCTACGTCCCTTTTGAAGTTCATTGGTCAGTATCTTCAAAAACAATCAGATATCAGAAGATGATATCGGAACTCTTGATAAACTTGGTCTGATGATGATCCACAGAAAATTTGGTACAAATCAGACCCATGGTTTAGGAGGAGATGTCAAATGTCAATTTTACACACTTGCAATTACAATAATTAAACATATACTGCAAGTTTTGTAATAATTGGAATAAAAGCAATTTTGATTTATAGCCTGATTCATGTTATGCCACGCCCATTTTTTCTTGCATTTGTGTGCCCCCTAGTGTTTGATTTTAATGAAACTTTCAGGGTACGTTGCTGGCACCTCTTTAGGCAATTCCTGCAAGTGTTGTGTTGATTGGCTCAACGGTTCCTGGTTAGGTCTATTTTTGTGCTGAGCCATGCCCCCTCTCTAATGTTCATTGTGTCAGTTTTTTCAAAACACCATGAGATATCAACAAGCTTTTCAGAACTGTTGACATGCTTGGTCCAGCGATGATCCACAGAAAATTTGGCACAAATTGGACCAACGGTTTACAAGGAGATGTCAAAAAAATGTGTTTTTCAAAAAATTCAAAATGACTAAAAATCTTACCTGCTGACTCTAATAGGTTTTGAGGATTTTTGTAGGACACACTGAGCTGGACTTGTGAATCACATTTCAAGCCAATCCCACTCATGATGTATGAGTAAAGTTAACGTTTAATTATAGTGGCCCCATCAGGCTGCTTGGAGTTATATTTCTTAGGCAGCAATTGCACAAAACAGCCAATCATTGGAGAAAATTTGATTGGTCTACGATGTACCATCTCACAGGAATTTGCAAAAAAAAAAAAAAAAATTAACCCTTTGAGCTTAAACCCCCCATTAGCCAATATGCCCAGTCTGAGCTGCCCTCTGAACACACATCTAAACAGTTCATTCATGTTAGATTTAGTTCATCTTGAACACAATATTTGGCTGTGTGAGTGAAGAGTGATGAAAAATTTGTTCATTTAGGCGCAGATCCTGTGGGAATTGAAGAACACAATGCAGGAATCAATCGAGCTGTCACTCAATACAGATGGTGACTCAATCCCAGGTAAATGGACAATGTGCTCTCATTCTGACTCGTCAAATACTGCTGTTTTGTCAGTGGATCACAACGTCAAAAATTGGACATTCATGGACAGCGTCTCATTTGACACTTGTTACATACATTATGTCTTTTTTAAATACATTTCCATTTTCTCAGGAAAATGTACAGCCCTGCTCATAACATGCATACAGTCTTTTTCAAAATAAACTTAATAGTTAAACACCTCACTTTTGGTTTATTTCCTTAAGTTTAGACAACAAAAGCACGTGGTTAGGTTTATAAAAAACATCATGGTTTGGCCTAGAATAAGTACAGTTCTTCCTCATGTATCACGTGAAATATATCATGTGACATGTGTTACTTCTGTTGCATGCTATGTATACCAGCAACTGCGAACTACCAAGTGTGTGTCTAGTGTTCGTTTGTCCCATCCACCCTCCCACCTGCCCTATAGGGACTTTTTGGCTCTTTATACTGCGGCAGTTGCCAGCAGCATCAGAAATATACCGCTGCCCAGTGCGTATCATACCTTAACAAAAGGTATGTCTGTATCTGCAGCAAAGTGGTGGCATTTGACAAGTTGGGAGTGAGAACAGGCTGAAATGGAACATTTAAAAATAAAAATATGTTAATCACTAAAATACTGTAAATATCTAATTGAAATGAATAAGTCACCACATTTCCAACCATTTAATAATTGATAGTGCACTGGTGAACAATATGTTGTTTTTTATTTTTGTAGATGTTTCAGATGAGCTCCAGATGGTGAAGAACTACCGTGATAAACTGAAGGAAAACTCAAATGAAGCACCACCATCGATGAGGTAAAAAACACCCACATAATTCTTTGACTATGAACTGTTCTGAATAATGCTAACAATGCTTTTAATTATACTAGTGCTGATCCACCTGTCCCAGCAACCCATTCATGACGTGTGCATAGGTAAGTTTTAGTGAAACTGATGATCAAAGTCGATGATGGGAGAGATGATATGACAGCCCTGCTGTAATTCATTACTGTTCAATGTCACAACTTCACTGTTTGTTTCTCTGGTGGACGTTTCAGGTTTGCTCAGTGGAGAGAATCAGCAGATGCCTGATCACCCACTGAAGGTCCCTGTGGGCACACTGATCCCTCAGAGACATGACACCTCTGGATTTGATCTCAACCATTTTTGTCAAGTTATCGTATCCCTGTTCTTTTTGAGTTTTTAATGTACTTTGAGTTTGCTTGTTGTTGTGTGTTACATGCAGAGAAATTTTAGACATTTTTACTTTCAAGTGATTATGGATCAGTTAAAATGTGGGGAGAAGGGTGGAGGGAGCTGGATTCAAACCAGAGACGTAAGTCCTGTTTCCACCGAGCGGTACGGTACAATTCAGTTTGTTACATTGTTTTTCAGTTTCCACTGTGAAAAGTTGTGGATGGTACCAATGGAACCATTCTGTACCGTCCCCATTTTTGGTCCCCCCTCTGTTGGGGTACCTAGCACACAGATCTGGAACTAAAAGGTGGAGATGTGAACACTGCAGTCTGTTGATTGGTCAGTAGAGGACGGTCACTCTGCTCAGGGCTGAGTTGTGGCTGGTTTTGAGGCTCACGTAACCACTGCTCATACTGTGGAGAGTTTTATTACTGTAACTATAAAATGAAAGGATGCTTTAGAAAAGACTTTGTGTATTGTTGTTTGTGTACTGTGTGTTGTGTGTCAATGTAAACGCAGTTTGCATGCACTCTGAGCCCAAGATGAATTTCCTGCAAAGGACAATAAAGTTTATTTGATTGATTGATTGATTGATTGAACTAAAACGTAAATACGAAAGAGGCTAAGATACGAAAAAGGAGAAACAAAAGAAAAATAAAAGAAGAAGAAGAGCACAAGAGAGTGAGACAAGAGAGAGGAAACAAGAGGAAAACGAGACGGAAAATACAAGAGAGAGAAACACACAAGAGAGAGAGCACACCAGAGCGCACATGTTTTTAACCGGCCAAAGTGGGCGGATCTGATCTGATCTTCTTAGTTGTAAAATAGGCTGATTACTTTATTTCAAAAGAAACTTAATGCTTTTTATTATATGAGATCTTATACTTTGACATGTTACGCGCGATAGGCACATACTCTTCTCATTATCGTCAAAATCGGTTCTTAACATCCAATTAAAATGAATACAATTGAAAACAACCTATAGTGGCAACATATAATGAAAAACAAAATGAGGAAGCACATATTCATGCAAACAAGTTGATTAATGAACCCCAATTATATTTCTATAACTCCAAACACATAATATGGATAAAATGTATAGTTCACTTCCAACCAAGCCCCAACCTCCGGTGGAGACGAGTGAGACCAATGCGGAAGTGCCAAAAACTGCAGTTCACTGACTGTCCACTTGAGGCTGGCTCCGGAAGTGAGTCAATTCCCATAGACCCCCATGTTAAAATGCCCAACTTTAGAGCAGAAATAAACATGTTTACAGCCTGGTACAAAAAATAGTTTAAACTTTAAACAAGTTATAGATGAATATCAAAAACTCAACACTGGCCATGACAGCCTGGGCTATGATCAGGCCTAACAAAATGTGTCCTAAAGGCCAAATTCAAAAGCAGTAACACTGCCAACTGTAAGCAGTTCACTGCGTTTGGAGGTGGTCTTTAAGACAATTAACTTATTTACTTAAAAACATATAATTTCTCCTAGGTGTGAGATGAATGTGTCTGATGTGAGGGTGCTCAATTATGTCACCATTTAAACTATGTACAAATGTAGCCATAACACTGTAAATACATTTCCTGGCCTTATCAATCTTTGCTGGATTGCCACCAGCCTCCCACCTGCACCTTTGGGCCAATGAAGAAAATATTATCTTAATGCCAGGATGCTGGAGGTGAAGCTGGTGCAGGTCCTCCTTCATCATGCTGACCAGCTTGACACTGCTGACCTTCCTCATTTCATTGCTTCCACAGTGGATGATGAGGACATCTGGTGCTGCTCTTCCTCTCAGGGAGTGGGAAAAGAAGGAGAAAAGGCCTCTCCACTGCAGTCCACCCCAGCCAAACCAGCAGACACGGATGCCCGGCATGCTGAGGGTGCTTCCCAAGGTCTCTGCAGCTCTCTGGACACTACACCGGACATAGCTGTCACCAATGATCCACACTGTGCATATGAAAGTAAAATGAGTGTAATAAATGCTTTAGGTAATTAAAAACAGAAAGTTTACTATAAAGGGTGAATCACTTCTTTTTGTTGACAATACTATTATGTCACATCTGTAGAATAAAATAAAACAGGGAGCAACACCTCAAAATGCAGATGACAGTCTTTTAAATGCTTTCTTTCTGTCCTTGGAAGACAATGTAATATTAGCTGTCTAAAGTCAAGTAGCCAAAACTGGTACTTAGAGTTTCTGCTGTGTGTAGTAGGCGTGGTGGAGACGTAACGTTAACAAGTGGCCATGACCTCAACACCGGTGATGTACTGAAAGAAATTAACATTTTGTAACATTTATAACACTGCCTTTCTTTCTCAATTTTTACATTTCTTTATCATGTTCTAGATGATAATCTCGCAATGCGCTGTTGATAACAGTAACGTTAACGTTACAGATACATTTCAGTCCCCTTTGACTTTTATCAATGTCACGTTACCATAATTAACGTTAGCATGCTATATTTAAAAATGTTGAAGCTTATTTTAAGACTGTGTAATCTCAATAACAGCTGAATCATTGTTTCAAGGTTTGTTGTATAACGTTAGTTTCAGCTAAACTCAACTTACCTCAAGTTTCGTGAAGGAGCTGGCACCAAGCGGGAACAGCCGACACCACAGGGCTAGCCCAAGTAGCGTAGCTTGTTAGCCTCGTAGCTTCTTAGCCTAGCTTGTTAGCCTTAGCTAATTTAGCAGCGTCGAGCGAGGTGGGCGTGTTTAGGCAACCAGGCTTCCTTTGGCCCGCCTCTTTGCCCATTTTTGATTGTCCGGGAGTTGGGCGGAGTCAGGCACTGCCAAGATGGCGAAGTCCAGAGCGGAGTATTTTGAGCTTCAAATCCACTCTTCAGAAACGGATGGGTGACGTCACGGTGACTACATCCATTATTTTATACAGTCTATGCTTCCAACAGACATTTCAATTTTGTCACACAGAAACATTTGGTAAGAGAAGGGAGGGTGTGATTTCCCCAGGGCAATGCAAATGGTCAGGATGCGGTTAAGAAAAGAAGCATTGTCTCATGACAACTAGTGGGTCGTTCATTACCGTGTTTTGCCCCAAGGCTGGATACTTTAAGATGGCATCTGAAACTTGAGGGATCCCAAGTGCACCGTCCCCATTTTTGGTCCCCCCTCTGTTGGGGTACCTAGCACACAGATCTGGTACTAAAAGGTGGAGCTATGAAGACAGCAGTCTGTTGATTGGTCAATAGAGGATGGTCACTCTGCTCAGGGCTGAGTTGTGGCTGGTTTTGAGGCTCATGTAACCACTGTTCATACTGTGGAGAGTTTTATTAGACTGTAACTATAAAATAAAAGGATGTTTTGTTGCCTCTTGCAGCAGCTGGAGTCTGAGAAGAAAATAACTTAATTCACTGGGTCGACTGCAACTTTTAAGTTGAGACATTTACTTGTAATGTTACTCAATGCATGAGCTGATCATGTGAATCAATCAGCACACCTTAATTGTGACAACTTTTGACCATGGGTCTGACTTTGACTTTGACATATTGTCAGGTAGCCTGTTGGTTCTGGTAGTGAGCTTTGCAAGTATGTGCAGGTACGGGTTTTCAAAAAGGGACCATGCAGGACTCTGGCCTGCAGTGTCTCAATAAGAGTAGCAAGGCATCCCTTTGGTCCTTAAACCACAGACACCATTAACCTAAATGTTCTACCTCTTTTCTACCTTTTCTACACATATCTGCACAACCACTATTTCTCCTTTGTGTAGCAGAATATTTTACTTAATGAATCAATGGAAAGAATATTGTATTTGCCAATTAAGATGTACTTTTTTTTCTCTACTTTTGAAGTCAAGTTGATCCACTTCTCTGGTTCACTAGATACTTTGGGCTGTTGTATAATAACTGTCCCCTCCCTGCACTGACAGAGATCACATGGTTTAATGAATCTAACTGTTGCTACAACAGAAAGACCAGAACAAGATAATAAAGGCATGGGTAAACTGGTTTAACAGGTTATGGTTTATATGGGGTTAGACATGGTTTTAGGGCACACTGAAGCCAATACACAGCCTCAGAGTGCTGCCAGACAATACATGTTGTCATGACACACATTCTGTGGCCTCAAATTCATTCTTTTTAGCCCCACCTTGTGGCAGTTTGTGGTATAAAACATTATTGATTGTAAAATGTTGCTGAGTGGTCAGTTCAAATCATGTGAGTCCGAGGTTAGAAGTCAGCCAGGAAAAGTGCAGTGTGCAAGAATTTCTCCATGCGGTCAGACAGAGAGCTCCTCTCCCCTTTTTCTTCTCGTTTTTGCCTTGGAGAGCCTTTGCTTGTAAGTTTCATTACCTTTTCTGTGTTTTGTGCAAACGTGCATAATTATAATTTAGAATGCATATGTTTGAGTTAAAAACGAACTACTTTGTGATAATTTCATTTAAGGGTAAAAATGCTAAAAGTAAAAAAAAAAAAAGTAGCTTCTTGTCATGGCATGTGTACATAAGGAATGAAAATTCATTTGTGCTATATTTTCGAGAATTGCTTGTAACCAAAGCCTTGTAACTTGTGTTTATTTCAGTTTTACAAAAAGAATGGAAAGAAGAGAAAAAGGACTCAGTAAAACACCTTAACTCTACTACCGTGCCTGTGGATATTCTCATTTATCCAGATCATAGTTATCTCAAGGCAACTGAATCAAATGCAGCTGGACTTAGTTTTGTCTTAGAAGACGTTTCACCTCTAATCCAAGAGGCTTCATCAGTTCATGCTTGTCTGACTAGGCTGGAACTAGTCTGACACCGTCGACCACCATTGCAGCAGGAGTTTCAACGACCGTTGTTGACACACCATTGGAGCACTAACGAAACAATGACATCATTGGCCTTGTGATGACCTACTCAGAGGTTAAATACCTGGGTTTTCCACACTAGTTTGTCAGACTAGTTCCAGCCTAGTCAGACAAGCATGAACTGATGAAGCCTCTTGGATAAGAGGTGAAACATCTTCTAAGACAAAACTAAGTCCAGTTGCGTTCGATTCAATTGCCTTGACATCTACTACAACTACTGTGTTCGACTTTCTCTGTTAGCTATCTGTCAGTGGTGCGTAGATGGCACACGAATCAGGGACAGAATACATGTTGATTGACAATCAGACCATTAAGGATAGTAGATGTTGAGTTTTGAGTATTTTGCTCATAACAGTGGTTCTGAATTTGATTTTTCATTGTAGAAATCAGTTAGCCTGGAAATCCAGACTCAAATCTAGAAAGATTTTGAGTCTGGCCCTCACCGATACACCATTCCTAACCAAGCAGCGGCACTAACTGAGGCATTTCAAATGCCGCCACACGCAATTGGATAGCACAATGGCCAATCAGAGCAAAAAACAAGGTGACGTATTCATTGCACTAAGCCCCATTTGTTTGCCGAACAGTGGGGCTAACTGATATATTATGCTTTTGCCGTATCCCGTCGGCAAAACAGCAAAAACGTCCTTCCTGGAAGCGAAGGCTTCTAGGGCAGTCTTCTGTTCCTCTCTCAAGGAAAAAGATAAGTGTAGTTGGCTTAGCTTTTCTTCCAAAGCTAAATTGAATGGACGTGGTCCTTCAGCAGCTGCCATCTTGGCTGTTTACTTTTCGACTCCCACGGCACAGCGCTGTCTTCATCATGTTACGCCCGCCCAGAGCCCACCTCTGTCAGATCAACTTATCTGATTGGTCTCATTGGTCTCATTGGTCTGATTGGCGATTCAGCGGGCTCTGCTCGTCGGGGCCAGATTCCCGTGCAGTGTAAATTCAAATTTGCTAGGGGCGGGGCATCTGGATTTCCAGGTTAGAAATCAGTGCTTATTACAAAATTTGCAGGGGCATGTATGTGTTGCAAGCACAAATTCCTGCAGGACCTATCAGGAGGCTGAAGGGGGTCTTAAGCTCTGTTTCCACCAAACACTTTTGGTATGGTACCTTTGGAACCAAAAGTAACCCTTCAGACATGGTACCTAGACCCACCGCAAACAGTACTCTCAAATGTGGGCAGGGTTGTTGTCACTCACTGCTCTGTCCAGCACTCACTGTATTTCCTCATTACCGGTAACACAGATGGAAGTCTGCACCTTGTTTATCGTCAATAGAACAAGGCTACACACCGACATTTTCAAAACAAAATAAAGAGAGTCTCTCTCAATTAATAATTTAAAAATCTAAAAATTTAAAAAGCTGGTTTGTGGATTTAGTCCTTCTCAGGCAAGCCCATGGATTAAGTGTTGCTGTAGCCCACAGAAAAGACGCTCCACAACGCTTTTTTTTTTTTTCCAAATGAGGATTAGAATATACTGTGTCACATAACCCGGCCGAAGTTTGAAGATCCACTCATTACTAAAAGTGTATGTCATATAAAATCTAAAGTAATGGTCAAACTTGTCATATGGAATATTTAAGGTGTGTCAATTGATTCATGTCGTCAAGTTAATGTTCCACCTTAAAAGTTGCTGGCAGTAAGCCCAGTGAATTAAATGGCCCGTTCGGGTAACTGGGGCTTTACTGGTATAATGCAATAGCACCACCCAGCGGTGAAACCCGTGTACACAAAAAAAAATGACCGGAGCTTCTTTTTGTTTGAAAAGAGCCACCTAAGTTAGCATGTTAGAGATTTATGCACATATAATCCCAGTTTAGGACATATTTCTTACAAAACAAGGGAGAGATGGGATTTTCATTTTGTTACTGTTATGGTCATTTGTAAAATAGTTCACCTGACACCTGGTGATCTGGCAGGAAAGTCCTACAGGGACCTGTTATACCTTTACAAACACATTTGTGGATGGAACTTGGGAACATTATAGTGCTATTGTTTACCATATATTGAATGGTTTCTTATTTATTTTATTGGTTTTTATTTATTTTGTTAACAGCGAAAAAGACGTAGAAAAGACAAAGAAGTTGGGATGTCATTTCTGTTTTTAAAGCAAGGTCATCCACTCAAATTACAGATAGGGAAATGGAGAAAGAAGAGGTTAGGTGAGGAAAAGAGGAGTAGAGTGAAGGAGATGGAGAGTGGAAGATTGGTACCTGCTTCATTAAAAAAAAGTTTTATCAAGTGCTGTTTTTTCATTATTTTGCACTGGTCCGCACACCCTAAAAAATATTCAAACAGAAAGTAACTTGTACTTGAGTAAATTATTAACCAGGTACTTTTTACTTTTACTTGAGTAGGTTTCTCAAATAGTAATTTTACTTCTACTTGAGTAATTTTTTGTCAGTAATTGTACTTTTACTTGAGTACAGATTTTCAGTACTCTCTCCCCCCCCCCCCCCCCCCCCCCCCCCCCCGCTTATAATAAAGTTGAAAACAATATCGTCGGCCGTTCAATATCATTATCAAAGTTATTATCAACATGTAGAAAAAAAAATGTTGCAATAGGCTGGCTTTGTCGCTTCAGCTATAATGTTTCTGAAGGCACAGACAAAAAGAAAGAAACCTCAGGACAGGCAAAACAACGTGTCGAGCAAAACTTAAAAGTTTAAAATAATTTTGATTGTAAGAAAAGAAAGTTACACAGGAACTGAGTTTAACAGCGTAACAGCTTCAGACATAAAGAATATAACTAGAAGGAGGGATGGCAAAAGAAAGAAGAAGAAAAAGTAGAAATTAAAGTAAAAGAAGTAAAAAGGACAAAGGAAAGAAATAAGAAAGTAAGTAAGTAAGTAAGAAGAAGAAGTAGAAGGAGTAAAAAAAAAGTGAGGAGATGCGCCAAGCTCAATAGTTTTATCCCACTAGCTTGAGGGGGCGTGTCCGAAGCAGGGCGGGTCTCTTAGTCTATACATTACTTTATTCCAGAGGAAACTTAATGAACTTTTAATGAAACTTTAATTTGTGAGATTATATACTTTAGCATGTTACGCGTGATAGACACATACTCTTCCCATTATGGTCAAAATCGGCTCTTAACATCAAATTAAATTTAATATGATTATTATGCTGCATGTATCAGTGGAACACAAGTATAAATGTTTCTTATACACACACTGTAGACTAACTTGCAGTTGCAATAAAACAAAATGAGAAGGCACATATTCATCAAAACAAGTTGATTAATCAATCCAACTATATTTTAACTCTAAACATAATATGGGATTCCTTAAGGGAACCCTCCTTAACTATCATCACAAGAGGGCAATATGGCTTCATGTTAAATGAGGGATTAAAAACATGAACTCATAATTCACTGATACTTTGACCTACAAAACAAAAAAACTTCCAAGAGACATTTCAACTTGATTACAACGACTTGGGTGAGACCGGGGGCAGAGTCGTAAACATTTGACCCTCCGCGTGACCCATCTCACCCCTGTTCCATTACTTTCGGTTTTCGGAGAGTTCACAAGGGGTGTTCCTTCTACATTATCAACTGATTAACGCTAACCAGTCAGACAAGACGGACTGTGTTATTAAACTCAAGAACGGCTGCTATGGAGAAATACGCTTGATTTTGCTTATTAAAGAGAACTGTGTGTGCACATCCAACTGTCTGTGCCAGGCTCGTCCAATCATTGTGGTCCACCTGTATGACATCAAACCTGATACTATATTTAGCGACATGCATCCTAACAATGCATCTAAGACTATTTTTGTGAGAGTCGAAAGGACAGGTCAGCAGAAAGCTTTCTTCTTAGAGGACATCAGGTGTAAATGTGAGTATGTGGATGGTTGGTTTGTGCCTGTACCAAACACTTATGAGAGATATTAGCCAAAAATACTGAAAAACACTTGGTTGTTTATATACAGAAAACTTTAAATCAAGTACTGTAAATACAAATAGTAGATGTAGCTTGCCGTGCCATCAACTTTATAAATATCATCAACAACCCCTCAGTTTCCCTGTTCTTTTACAAATCACAGGTTTTGCATCTCTTTTCCTGGTGCCAGCAGGTGAGTTGTTAATTTGCATAAGGAAATTCTAATGCCTAGTTCAGACTACAGCCGGCCATCCTACTGTCAGCTTAAATTGTGAGTGATAATCAGTGTTATGTGTGATTATTGATGATTTTATCCTGTGTAGTGTGTCAGAGCACTAGGGCTGTCAACGAATATTCTAAATTCGAGTTTAAATTCGAATTTGAAAAAAAAATGGACCTTCGAATGTGAAAATTGATATTCGATTGTGGAGAAAAAAAAAAAAAACGCCACCGCAGCTGTCCTCTTTGCGAGTGGGCATTGGCCTGGGACACTGCACTGAATGCACTGCATGATGGGTCAGAGAGGGGTGGCGAGCTAGAGGTCCACGGTCGTTTATAACGTAATGTTATAGATAATTGTTTTATGTGTTTTAATGTGT